GGGGGGTGGGGGGAGAGGAACTGTGGTCCTTTCGAGGTTTGGAGAAGGTGTGATTTCTAACCTCGGGATGTGTGAACTGCCGTAAGGCGGTTTCTAACATGTCTGCTGCCTACGCACCATGGAGCAGCCCAGTCCTCACTCAGGTCTCCCTGGGCACCTGGGGGCGGGCCTAGAAGGGCGTGATGTGCTCCCGTGAGTGGTCAGTGAGCTAACTCCGGGCCCTGGCTCGTGCACTCTTGGTCCCCACCATCCCCTGACCCGCTAAGAGCCTGGGCAGGATGCGCATGTCCCCCGGGCCACTCAGTGGAATGTCAGGTGCAGTGGTCATCAGCTGGGCTGCCCGCTCGGGATTTCAACATCCGGGTGCTAGGCCGGGGCTGGAAAGCCCTGGCACGTCCTTCGTCAGGCCTGGACGCCCGCCATCTTACTCGAGGGACTCCTCGAGGGACTCCCCTAACTGCGTGGGCTTCTGGGGTTGGTGCCTCATCTTCTTCACATGAGCTTGGGCCAGCTCAGATAGTAGCTTCTGGGGCCAGTGTCGACGCCGTCTGGTATGGGGAGACCAGGGCAGACTCTGATTTAGGGGCAACTGCTCCCAACATCTGGTCGTTGCATTTGGAAGATTCCCCCAAGTTCTCCCATCTCCTGTGGTTCTTTTCTTTTACCTGAGTCTCAAGACAAAAGACAGGGTGGCCCTGCTGCCAGAGAATATTCTAGATGGGACCTAACTCTACTTTGACAGGCAAGTCTCTATCATACGGCTCCATCGTGACCCCTCGGAGGACCTTCTCTACGGAAGCCACATCAGGCCAAAATGAAACACCAACCCTGAGCTAACCTCTCGCACACTGACCAAGGCGGTTCGCCATGCGCATACCCTGCAGGCGCTGGGTGACACATGGCAGGTCCCCGATGCGCACCCCTGCCTCACCCTGCCTGCCTCCGGGCACCACAGGCCCTTTGGACGGGAGGAAGGTCTCAGAGAAGGGCATTTTTACCAACCGGGTGCAAGCCCCGGAACCAAATGCTGTCATTTGAGAACAAAATCAGAGCCTCATGAATGCAATGCAGTGAGAGCGGTTTTCAAATCGGCCGTCCTGTCTCCTTGCTTTGGGACAGTGCTTCCTACACCGAACTGTTGCTAAAAACTGAACTCCTTCTAGAACTTGGGTGTTTTGAAGGTCACAGACTAAAAACAGGCTTTCTGGTTTTACTGAACCCTGTGCTGACAGCTGATGAAATGTCCTCTACTGGCCACTCTGGCCCAAACAGAAAAGCCGGAACAGGAGAGAAGCATCAATCTATGTTTCAAAAACAGCAGACATCCAAGATTCAACAGGGAATCCATTCCTATTGTTTAAAAAATCTACGGAAGGACGGCCTTTCTCCTCCGAGGGGAGGAACATTTGTGTTTCTGAAATACGAATTCTAAGCTCTTACGTGTCCTTTCCTCCTCGAGAGGGGAGAGGTGAGGGATCCGGTGGGGGCGTGCTGACCCTGAGCGGCGCTGTGTCTCTCTCCTCGGGAGGGTGCTGGCCATTCCGGGTCCCAGGAACTACTTCCTGGCAGCAGAGGAAATACAAGTCTGGCTGCTTCCATCTACTTGAGAGACTAACCCGCCCCCCTTCTGTCTTCTGCGTAACTGGGAGGAATTGAACGTTTTGACTGAAAGGCAGCCTGATTTAGATGCCTGAGCGATGAAGGACCCATCAGGGTGTAGGGCATGGAGCGGAGCGGGCCGGGGCCCACACCGAAGACCCACTGACCGCAGGGCTTCCAGAAGAAAGCCACTTGGGAACTCAAACAAGAAACATGTCGATAATGGCCCAAAGTGAAAAATCCAAGTCTGGATGCCAAAGGCCCTTATTTAGGTTTTTGGTGAAGGATGAGGGTGAAAATCACTTGAAGACAGGAGTTTGCAATGTGTGAAATCCCCGTTTGAGGAGGCCAGTTAGAAATAAATTATATTTCCTGGGAAAGAAAGATGTGTATCTTCAGCACATTTCTATTTGAATTCCTTCCTGACTGCTTTTCAATTTGTTTGCTTGAAGGACATAAATACAGTCCAGGGGAGTTCTAGAAAGTCAGGCCGACCTTGTGGGTGCGTGAGGGACGGAACTAGCGCGGATGGGGGAGGGGGAGGAGCCCATCGAGGGGTAATGGATTTGCTTTCCAATTATCTTTGCCTTTTGAGAAGTTTTTGAGGCCTGACCATACTTTACTCCTAGAGGCTCTGCATTGTTGCAAGGCTTCTGAACCTTCCTAGGCGGGAATGTGGGTTTCTTATTTCCAGAACATTCTACATGTGAGGAGGAAGGGTGGGCAGAGCTGGAGCCGCGGTGACCCACGTCATCCTTGAGCACAGCTCGGGCTGGGGGCTGGGCAGGACCCAATGGCCACCCTCGAGGGGGAAGATGCTTTTGTCAAGTGCAGGGACAAGTCCAATGCCAGCCCTGAGGGGGAGGGGCGCTCCCTTGAGGCGCAGGCTCACGGTCCAAACGTCCAAGCTAAGGAAGAGAGGCCGTTAGAGCCTAGAGCCTTGCTGGCCAGGGTGCTCCTCAGCAAGCTCTCATTTTAGAAGGAAATGGGAAAGGGACACCAAAGTGAGGACTGAGTGTGAGGAGTGTCATGGCAGCCTTTTGGTGGCTTCTAAAAATTTTTTTTTAACATTTTAAAATTTATTATTGAGAGACAGAGCATGAGCATGGGAGGGGCAGAGAGAGGGGGAGCCACAGAATCTGAAGAGGCTCCAGGCTCGAGCTGTCAGCACAGAGCCCGACGCGGGGCTTGAACTCCCAAACTGTGAGATCGTGCCTGAGCCGAAGTCGGACGCTTAACCAACTGAGCCACCCAGACACCCCTCTTGGTGGCTTCTAAAGGGAGCCAACAACATGACAACATGGTGTAGGAGACAGAAGGGGTCATCTTGGGCCTGAAGTGACCTTAGTGAATCCGTGAGGCTAAGCCTTAACCTTTTCTTTGCCTCTGGAAAATCAAACTCTAAAACTGGAGGTTAGACGTCAGCGAGCAGAAGCATGGCTCGCCCGCTGGGGGAGGGGCTCTTTGGGAAAACGGGCTCACAGAGAGCCTCAACCCTCTCTGGCACTGATCCCAGCGCGCAGGGGTGGGGAAGGGCACTGACCAGCCCTGTAGAGGGGAGGCCCAGAAGCTCAGACAGGAGGGGGGGGTGCTGTCACTGACTCCCTAGAGCACTGGTCTGAGGAAGCACTGCTGGCCTGGGGGCAGCTTTCCAGGCTTGGGCTCTGGCCGTCTGCTCCCAGCACTTCTGTTCTAAATGAACACTCCCATTTCCTGAGCGTCCAGCCTCTGGCTGGGTGTCTGGCTGCCTGTTACCACACTGGTTGGCAACCAACTGGCCATCAGATCCCGCGAGGCCACCCGTTTCACAGGTGAGGAAAAAGATCCCCAAAGCCGGGGCCCTGCCCCAGGCCACACAGGAGGGCCAGCAGAGCCAGGGCTGTCTTTCTCACTGGCCCACGTCCTCCCCAAGTGACGGGAGTGTCCGTTCCTTTGTGGACAGAGAATGACCCTGGACTCGTGAAGGCGTTACGAAACTGCACAGAATGGTCCCCAGGCCAGACAGCAGAGGCTGGGTCCAAGGAGACGTCGTCAGGCTAGACAAAGCTTCAGAAGACAATGGTGCGGGAAGGGCCACCACCCGGGTTCCTTTTAGGATCCTGCTCAAGAGCAATGCAACAAGACCACCCCATTGCCCCGTGATCAGCGAGCAGCCCGGGCCTCCTCCTGCCTTCTGGGGTAATTACGCACGGGATGCGTTTGCTGGGAGGCACACAAGCGCACCTGCTCACGGGGCCATGGGCTCGGGCATCTGTCACCCGCGCAGCCTCGAGCTGCTCCTCTCCTGGGATGACAGGAGACGGGTGGGGCCGGGGCGGGAGTCGGAAGCAAGGCTCCTTTCTCTGCAGGGTGTCTGGGGCACGGAGCACATCCGGCCAGATGGTGAAGCTACCCTAACCGGTGACCACGTGCCCGCGTGTCTTCCCCAGCAGGTGGCTTCTCGGTTAAGGGAAATGTTAATTCTGAACAGAAGAGGCAGTGGTGCCTTCGCCTCACGGTCACTTCGCAGAACTTCCATGAGAATCAACAAAGACCACTCGACCCCCTCCCCCAATTGGTTATTTCGAACACTAGCCCTTGTTTTTTGCTTCCAGGCCTCGGTGTTAGGTAAGGCTTTAAGATGGGAATGACAGCGTGGTTGGCGAAGAAAGCCCTTCTGGTCTGACACTGAAATACAAAGAGATTAGCCACCGGTCACCTTTATTTTAGAGGAAAACTCTTGAAACCCAGTACTGCCTTTCGTCTGTTGCCAAAACTCAGGCTCAGGAAAGCAGGCTGCCTCCTGGAACAGATCACCATGGCTAAAAATAGCAGAAGAGGGGTCAGGTTTTCTGAGGAGGAATCAATGAAGTCCCCGCGTCGGAGAGAGGGAAGGGAGGGGGAAAACCCAGTCTAGCATTCAGGTCGTGAAAGGCTAAGTGAAAAAAGGAGTCATTTGGGAAAATATTATATTATAAACATGTATAATAATATGTACACCCTCATATACATCTTAAAGAGAAGCCTTACAAGGAATTCTGTTTCTTTTCAAAACGAGGCTTCGCTATATGACAGGGCATTCCTATAGTGGGAATTAACTACAATGAAATAATTTAAGAATTTCATTTATACTACATCTGCGCTCGCTACGTAACGTCTATGCTAAAGGCTGTGCGGAGCAGAATGTGTCCAGGTGGAAGAGAAGAGTAATGAGTTCTTCAAAAATAGGCAATGACGTTTCCCCCCCTAACCACATTTAAAACAACGACACGGCGATGAAACACAGCATTAAAAACCGGGGGGAGGATCAGGGACCTGTGGTCAGGCTCCACGCAGCCAAAGCAAGGTTACAAGTGTCCATGAAACACGGGCCCACGTATAAATTCTGTGTAAAGCTTTATTTTTTCCCCACGTACTTGACGTTTTTTTTTTTTTAAAGTGAAAGAAGAGGAAAAACTCTTACAAAATAGAAGGTTTGCTATATGAGAGCAGGAGACCCCCCCGGGGGGCTGCCAGCCTAGTGCGACCCTGGTTCTGGGGCCACCAGTGTCCAGGGGCGCCTTCCAATCGGACAACCCTCTCCTCCGGGCAGAGCCACCCCCTTCCTTCTGAACCTAGGGTGTCACGATTTGGCCAGGATGAAGGGAGCTAACGTCTGAAGCAGCCTGATGCCGCTTAGTGACAGCAGGTCAGGGGACGTGCTAATCAACAGGACGGAGGGCCCGGCCGCCAAGTCAGGCCTTAGTGATTCTCGCCGGCCGGCAGGTGCCGCAGACCTGCGGGTGGCCGGTCCCGAACTGCCACTGCAGAGTGCACGGGTCTGGGATTCAGAAAAGCGCCCCCCGCTTGGCCGTGGCCCCTTCCTCTGGGTCAGCAGAAGTGCTATCAGGTTGAAAATGATGGGAAATCACATGCCTCCTTCCTCGTCTCTGATATGCCTCAGTGTCTGGTTGTTTTTTTCCCTCCTCGATTTTAATAAGCAAATCATACCACCGTCTTCTGATGCGCTCCTCTTCAGAGGCTGTCTGTCACATTAATGGAAGCATTTGCTGCTGGGAGTGGCTTCCGCGTACAATGATCTGTGACCCTCGCATCGCAACTAGTTGTACATTATTAGTTCACATCCAGTTCAATTTATAAATTAACAGAGGTGACATTTGTCTGTACAAAAATCAATGCATATTTATGAACTTCTTTTATTCAAATAGATTTTCACAATCTTATCTAAGGACAGAACACGGAAGCCTGGGTGACACTCGGTGGGGCCCAGAAGTGACTGAGACCCAAGGCCTCCACCTTGGCAAAAGGAAGTAAGATCTGATGTCTGGGGTCAAAAAAAAAAAAAAAAAAAAAAATATATATATATATATATATATAGCCTTTTATGCCTTCAGTTAGTTTATTATATGTACTCAAAGTGTTATTATTAGCTTGGATTCGTGATTTCCTGTTGAATTTCTGAGCTACCCTAATTTATTTTTTCCATTTTGTTTTTTGCACCAAGGAGGGAGACGGCAATCTCAGAATACGCAGCAACTGATTTCCTCTCTTTGGACTGAAAAATTAAACAGATACTAAATTATGACAGTGAATTTAGAAAGGAGGGCTCCAAGGGCTCGAAAGAACATGTCTGGGATAATATGATGCTTCTAAGAAGTATTGCAATCACATCGGGGCAAGCATCAGAGCGTGCGGTGTAACTACCTCTTCGGCTAATATGCTTTTTCCTCGGTGATGACTAATCATGTTCTATTAAACAGCGGTAATGCTGGAAGAACTCTACTACACAAGCGTAATGAAGCCAGTATTCTCTCTGGACAGATTAGCTACAACTGATTTGACACATACCATCATAGGGGCTTCAAACCTGACAAACTCTGCTTTGCCTCTGATTTATGCCGTCAAGCTCCTCGGAGAAGAGATGAAATCCGCGTGTTCCGTTTGGAAGAGGTGAAATGTACTGATGTGCTTAACTGCCGGTTAAGGAGAGTTACCCTTCTCCTTGCTCCTCGCCTCCCCTCCCCCTCGCGTCCCCGTCCCTTGTGCCGTGCTCTGTGTCCACGGGCCGCTGGACCCGGCTACCTCGCCGTGTGCTATCATCAAGAAACCGAGGACCACCGGCAGCTCCTGCCCGTTGTGGGCGGTGGGGGGGAGTTCGGGAAAAGGAGTCGGTCTCGCAGCCTCCTGGCCTCCCTCTTCGCCCCGTGAGGGCGGTCAGGCTTTTGTGATTTCGCGCAGGGTGAGGGCGGGTGGGCGGGTGACCGCCGGGAAGAGAGTGGGGATGCGACGGGACTCACGTGTCGTGACTTCGGGGCGAGGCGCGAGGCTGAGGAGGGGCCCGGGCGCGGCGGGCCGGCGGTCCTCAGATGATGGTGGGCACCCGCCCGCTGCTGTTGTTGCGATTATTGTTCTTCCTGGACAGGTTGGGGGTGGCCATGAGCACGAAGCGCTCGTCGGGGCAGCCGTACTGCAGCAGGACGTCGATGCACTCCTGGCTGGACGCCTGCCGGGCGTAGGCCAGCGCCGTGTTCCCGTGGGCGTCGCGGGCCATGACGTCCACCCCGTACTGTGGAGGCAACGGAGAGGGCCGTCAGGGTCACGGGTGGGGGCACCGGGGGAGGGGCCGGGTGCCCTCCGAGGCAGTCGGTGCGGGGGGACGGACCACCCAGGGAAGAGGAGAGGGACGCGGACGGCCAGAGAGCACAGCTGGCCCCACGCGTATTCTTTTAAAGAAACCATGTGCTTTTGACACCCAGCCCCTCCTTTCTGCAGGAGACCAACTGGTAATCCTGGCTTTGCTGGCTCCATTCTGCCTTTCCGATTGTGAAAACAAAAAATAATCACTTCTTGATCTCAGAGGCGGTTCCCTTTCATTGGGGGAGATCTGTATGTAACACACAAGGGCGCAGAGACGTCCCCTGTTACCCCTATTCAGGTCCTACCATGGGTAAGGACCGCCATCTGCCCCTGCTGGGGACCTCTCGGCAGGCAGCCTTCTGCCGCCCTTTGCGGTGACACGGGGTGGCTGAGCCCCCGAGGTGTGCGGGCTGTGCCACCGCGGGGCATGGACTCCTCAGGAGCGGACCCCGGTTACACGGTGGTGCCCGCGGCTCCACACACTCTGCCTTTCTGTTGCCGTTCAGGGTTCGTGACGAATGCTTCCACAGAAACTTAAGAACAATCTTCCCTAGGGGCGCCCGGGTGGCTCAGTCGGTTAAATGTCCAACTTCAGATCAGGTCATGATCTCACGGTCTGTGGGTTCGAGCCCCGCGTCAGGCTCTGTGCTGACAGCTCAGAGCCTGGTGCTGCTTTGGACTCTGTCTCCCTCTCTCTCTGCAATTCCCTTACTTGCACTCTGTCTCTCTCTCAAAGAGAAGCATTAAAAAACAAACAAGAAAGAATTTTCCCTAGAACTTAACCAGAAGAGTCTAGAAAAAGCCCTTTGATAAAGTCCTGCCATCAAATTCTGGGTCCAGTATTTTTGGGTTGCTAAAGGGAGAGAACCCTATAAACTAGCTGTATTCTCCCTCCCCACCCCTCTCCCAAAGGTGACAGCGGTCTGTTGTAAAAGGACCACGACAGACACTCCAACCCCACCTGGCCCAGAGGGGTCATGAGGCCCATGAGCTCTGCAGACACCCCCCCCCGGGAGGGCCGGGCAGAGCGGGGCCCGTGGACCCCCTCCCTCCCTCTGGTCAGTCCTCAAGAGGCGTCCTCACACAGGGGAGCCCGAAAGCCAGGGGCCTCCACTCTTCCATCCTAAAGCCCCTCCCCGCACCGCGTCCCCTCCTCAGACAGCGAGGGCGGCGGCGGCCACGCGGTCCTGCGCGCGGGGACCTACCCAGATCAGGAGCTGCACCAGCACCACGTTCCCCTTCCGGCACGCCAGGTGCAGCGCGGTGCGGCCGTCCCCCTCCCCGCAGGTCTCGTTCACCTCGTCCCGGGAGCCGTGCGCCAGCAGCAGGATGACGGCCCGCAGGTCCTCGTCGGCGGTGGCCCGCAGCAGGTGCTGGCCCAGGGACGGCTCCGTGCAGGGCAGGGGGGCCAGGAAGAGCTTCTGTTCGTACTTGGCCCGGATCCACCGCTCCTTCTCCTCCCTGCAAGAGCCCCCACGCAGGTGCGGTCACAATCAGGAGGGGTGGCCGGGGCCAGGACCGCTCCGCTCCGGAACGCACGCGGTCGGGGGCATCGGGGAGGAAGGGAGAGGGCATGGCCGAGTATCTGCATGAGGAAGCCCCTCGAGGGGCAGATTTTCCACGCGGTGGGGTCCCTGCCCGGAGCGGCAGCTAGGAGCTCGTTAGAAATGCAGATTCTCAGGTTCTGCCCCGGACCTCCGGAATCAGAACCTCTCGGGGGGGGGGGAGGGGGGTGTTAAACCAGCCCAGCAGGGGTCCTGATGTGCGGGGTCTGTGGCCAGGAGGAGCCCCCCTCCTGCCTGGGGTCTGGCACATGCAGGGGGGAGGCCACAGGCCCGAGAGCCAGTGCTGCGCTAAGCAACGACGGCGTGTAGCCAGGATCAGGGGGCACTGCTGGGGGGGGGGCAGTGGACACGATGGCCAGTAAGCTCCCCGCACCTGTGTGTGCCCCTGAACTCTTGGCTCTTAATTCCTCCCCAGGGAAGGGAGTACGTGACCCCCTTGGGGTCTCCAATCCTTTGAGGAAAATCTCACCACAGACCCACGAATGAAACCTCAGAGACCCCCAGGGGGAGGGGAAAACACAGGCGCGCTAACTCAGCTACTACCGGATTCCGTACTCTCTCTGGATACCCGGGGAGGGCCGACGTGGAGAACATCACGGTGTTCCGGGGCCCGGCCCAGGAGACAAGGCAGGTGGCCCGAGGCCAGAGCGGAGCTAGGGGAGCAGGAGGCGATGACCCCGGGGAGGGGGTGGGAGTTCAGGGTCCAAGCGGGACAGGATGCTCCCTGTGACATCTGGAGGGAGGGCTGGGGACGGGGAGGAGGGGCCCGGACGGGAAGGGAATGGGTAAAGGGAGAGAGAAAGGAAGAGACCAACAGCAAAGTGTGTTCTCACTGTCCCGAAGCCAAGGTCTGTGGCTACTTAATGAAAGAAGAAAAGAAAGCTGTACAGAGAACAGGAACTGTAATTACCCAGCGACTTAAATGATACACGAGTCCCCTCCTAAAACCCAGCGTTTTCTCCAGGAGAATAATCAGGGTGCATAGCGACAAAGTACACAGAGAATCACTTAGGGCTTCCGTGATACTCTAGAAAGAAAACTCATTAACCGTGACATTTTTTCTTCCGAAGTACAGAAGAAAGGCCTTGTTTACACCTTTTACCCGTGTTTACACTGTTCCCAGTGATCCAGTGTCGGGTTAGCCCCTAATCTGTTTTTAAATACTTAGGCAAACAGATTCTTCCAGGAGCAAATCTGAATTAGTTTTGCTTCACTTCCTGGTCCATGGGAGTGACCCCGGAGTGACCCCCCTGACCCTTTTCATTCTGAGATTTCCAGGACAAACACTTGTGCTACAGCTGAGCACTCACACCCCGGCGTGGCCGAGGCCGAGGCTGGGCGCACGCAGCCCGCACCCTGTCCCCACTCGGGGCCAGAACACAAGAAAGGGCACCGGGCAGGCGAGAGACCAAACACTCCAAACAAAATCGTGTCCCTCGTGGGATTAAAAGACCTTACTTAACACGTATTTAACATAGTTGGTGCGTTTCATGAACCGCCGGAGAGCAAGGGCACGCCGTGAATGAAGTGAAAAGGGACAATGGTGAAGAATGCATGCAGATTTTCACGTGCCCATTTGCTAGCTCTCGTTTGTTGGTGGGCATTGAAGTCAGAGCGGTTTCATTCTGCTCTGGTCGATTTTCATGCGTGCTGCCAAACCACCCAGGGATAAAACGGAGAGCTGAACACGTAACTCTCGTCCTAGCTGTAGTTAACCGATTCTCTTTTTCATATCTGGACATCCCAGCCAAAGAACGAAGACGGCCCCCAGCTTCTGAGACCTCTCCTGGGGCCGGCGTGCTCTCCCGGGTAGTGGGGTGACTTCCTGTCCTGGGACGTGGTCACCCCGCAAACAAGCTCGCCTGAATGCACTGAAATTGACACGTGTCTGAATGATTGTCGTGTTTAAACTGCTCCTTGCTTTTTATTTAAAATTTTTTTTCTTTAATGTTTATTTTTGAGAGAGAGAGCGAGCGTGAGTAGGGGAGGGGCAGAGAGAGAGGGAGACAGAATCTGGAGCAGAGCCGGACACAGGGCTTGAACCCATGGACCGCAAGATGACCTGAGCCAAAGTCTGACGCTTCACCACCTGAGCCACCCAGGCTCCCCCTGTTCCTTGCTTTTAAAAGTCGATGCTGTTTATAATTATGTGACAAAGTTGGGTTCAGATTTTATGGGGCTTAATACTAGTTCGGGAGCCTCTTTAGAGGAAAGACTCTGGTGTTGGGAACAGGGTCTTGGAGGCGGTTCCTGTGCGGGACAAGGGACGGCCGGAGGCTGGCAGTCTTCACAGCAGTCCCACCTGTGACCCCGCAGGGGCCGGAGCAAGGGGTCTGTTCCCGACAGGGCTGCAGAACCGCTACGTACTCAGATACAGATACACAGACTCCAGGCGGCCTTCCTGGAGGGGACTGCCTCTCCCAGCCCCACGCCCACCTGGCCCCCAGGGCTGTTTTTATCACGTGTGGGAACCACGGTCCTTCACAGGACCTCTTTGCCGTTCCACACTGGCTCCTGGGCCTGCATTTTGGCAGCACCTCGCTGCTTTTTCAGACACCAGAAGGGGCCGGGAAGCTAAAGGCCACTTCACGTCTGAATCAGGAAGGCTTTTTCGCAGCTGAAATCCAGCTAGCAGGAACAGAGAACTCAGACAGGGGCGTGTAAGGGTTTTGTTAATTCAGGAGCCCCTAATCATGCTCAAGCACTTGCTGTTGTTTAGAGTCTGTGTCCTGTGGTCGCTGTGCACCCTGATAAATCGGGGGGTGGGGGTGGGGGACACGGTAAGCTGTACCCTGTGGGCTCTCCGCAGTGGCCAAGGGCGGAAGAAGAGAATGGCCATGGAGCCACAAGGCCTTGCTTTTCGGCAATGGAAGGACGGGATCTATGTGCCTGCCTCGCGCTTCCTCGGGGTGTGGCCTTCCGCACCTTCAGTGACTTCTCGGGCTGTCCTTTCCTTGCCTGTAAAGTGGGCAGTGACGTCCACAGAAGGCAGGGTGGTTTCGGGGCTGAGGTCACGTGTTTGGAGGGTGTGCTGGCCACAGCGGCTGCTCTGCAAGTGATAGCTGTTGGTGCTGTAATGATGGACTCAAACAGGGTCTCTTAACAATGCATAGTTGCTATCGAGCACCTGAGAACTCACCTGTGGGGGTGGGGTGTGTGACAAAGGGGAGCTGATGGCATGCGGATCCGCGGGGGGCGTCAAATGCCTGCTGGACACTTAAACGTTTCTAAATCTGGGCTGCTAAGTGTGCTTGGAAGGGTGAGGCAGGGGCTTTTGGCCAGGGACCCTGACAACTCCATCAGTGCTCGTGACCCCCACACGCTACCACCCCAGAGGGGCTCGGGATGCTGGGGGAGGGGAGCCCAGCTGGTGTGAAGGACCCTGTGGCTGTCAGGGTGTCTGGGGCCAAGTGGGGTTAGCACAGCCTTGAGATATCTGAAGTCTTCTTGGGTGCTATGGATTGAGTAGTGTCCCTGCCCCCCCAAATCCATATGCTGAAGCCCTAACCCCAATGTGTCTGTTTTTGGAGGCCAGGCCTCTAGGGAGGTAATTAAGGTTACATGAGGTCATAAAAGTGTCCTTATAAGACACGGAAAAGACACAGGGATCTCTCTCCAAGGGAAGGCACAGCGAGAAGGCACGGTCTGCTGGCCAGGAAGAGCTCTCACCAGAAACCAAGCCCTGGCACCTTGACCTTGAACTTCCCACCTCCAGAGCCAAGAGAAAACACATCTATGTACTGAAGACACCCAATCTGAGATATTTCCTTAGGGGAGCCCAGTACGACTGCTAACACGACTGCTAACACTGTGGATGACCGCGGCCTCCATCATTGTTGTCTGGCTTCTGGGCTCACGTTTAACACACAAAAGGCGGACACTCTGGTAGTTTCTTTTTCTACGAGAACATTCTATCTGAGACCATTTGCCCTAAGGCGCCAGGATGCCAACACACAAATACTCTAATTGTTACTCTGATGTCCCATCTCACTTCTGGGGTCCCCAGCTTGTCTTGGCCGGGCCTTTCGTTTTCCCCAAGGAAGGCCAGTTCAAGAGCAGCGTAGCCAGCAGTAGATCACTTCACCTCGTTCCAATCCCCTGGAGGCCCGCTGCTCACAGCCTCCGTTAGCTAATGAGCTAAAAAATGACTTATTGGCATGGCCGGCCGTCAGCAGAAAGAAGGCGGCCCAGCTCCTCATTTGAGCCCCGTGCTGACACACCTTTAAATAAATCAACCACACGGGAGTGAGAGAAAATGAGAGAACGGACGACTAATCAGAAGAAAGACACTGACCCAATCCCCCCAAAATAAAAAGAAGAGATACAACCGAAGGTGTAGTAGTAAACATTTTCTTCTCTTCCTGCCTGAAACGAAGCCCCTTTATTTGGTGGCCCTCCATTCCCTGCCCTCTAGGCCGGGAAACCGCCTGGTGGGTAAGCCGTGGGCTGGTCAGGTACTGAGCACAGGGTTTGGGGGCATCGGGGAGCAGGTAGGGCCCTGGCTGTCCCCAGTGCCATGCTTGCATAGCGTCCCGCAGGTCTGCAGGCCTGGGATGCACTCTGGTCCCGCAGCCTGACAGACAGGCTTTGCCACATGTGACCTTGACACGGCCAAGGCTCCACGTGTCCCCCTCCCCCCCAAGATTAGCTCTGGGATGCGTCTCATCAACACCTGCGTCCTCAGTGCTGGCCAGAGGGAAATGACCGCTGGTGACAGTAAATACCGCCTGCGGGTCCCAGGAGCACCTGCCGTGGCGATCCTGAGGGTGATGAGCACCTTGAGGTTGGAAACCGCCTTTCCTGGTAATTCCCAGCAACATACCGGGCTTGTCAAGGGCCCCTGAGCACGGTCCCTGTTTCTACAAAGGAGCTATGTGTCAAACAAATGCAAAATGC